ATTTTGATATTCCTTTAACCTAATTTTGAGTAAAATATATAGAGATACACTTTAGAGGTTTTATCCACAAAATTAAAAACACACAGTATTTGTGTAACACAATCCTATGTAAATTGATGTGGAAGAATATCCTACTGATTTCAGCCACTCCAGTCTAGGTAGAGGCACTATATATGCAGAAGGAAACATGAACTTATCCCTAGCCGAAGGGGGAGGGGGGGCTGCATGCTTGGTTTCCAGCCCTCTTTTAAAAGCCAAAATCATGGCAATAAGCTGTTCAGTTGGGGTTGCCAGATTCCCTGGTGGAGGTGGGTGTCCCTGCTGGCAGGCCCTACCCCAAGCTGTCAATCAGCTGACCAGCGGGGGGAGGACTTAACAGGAGAAAGGAGAAGGCCTAGGCCTCGTAGGAAGTGACATCATCATGCCAGTGACATCCAGGCAGGCAGTGGAACTGGTATTTGGGCAAAAACTGTATAGTAGAAGCTGGTTTTACGTCACTTCCAGTGTGATATCAGTGATGAGGCTTAGGCCTTTCTCTTTTTTCTTGTAAGTCCCCCCAATCTCCTGCTGGTTGCCAGGGACCTGGCAACCCTAGATGCAATACAAAGGGAAACAATAAAATATTTTAGGAGGGCCACGTGAAAGGAACCCTCTTTCTCCACTGATTATTTACCTCATTCACCACTGGAAGCTTTTCTTCAGAGAGTTAGACAGAGAAAGAAAAAACCTTTGATATGGAGGACGAGCATTGTCCTTAGTGCTTTTGGATACAGGACAAGAAGACTAATAGCAACTCACATTGCCACCTAATGTTACAGGAGCCACATTTCCGTTGCAGCAGAATGAACCCAGGAGAAAAATCACTACCAACACATTTATACCAGAAAATGAAACCACAACTTTAAATTTGCTAATTTGGGACCAGTAGCATTAGGATCATGCTGAGAATTTATAAGAATAGCTGTTCTTTTCAAAGAAATACCATTTTCTTAGTTGGGAGCCATGACATGCCTTTTGAAACCAATTTGAACATGACATACAGGTAATTATTATTTTAATGGTAAAAGTCTCTGTTTATGCCACGACAGGATGGGGCTAGGTTAATAATTTTATTTTACACTTAAGCATGTACACTTAAGGTTGTACCTTAGCTTCTGACAAATACCTAAACACGAATAACTTTTGTTAAAGAACAGAATAATATTTCAACAAACACAAAGATTGTATCTTGTCTGATTTCCCTTTCCATTGCAGCCCATTCTTCTGCATAGACTTTTGTCATTACAGGTCAAAAGGGGATGCTGGTAGAAGAAGTAGGGGATGAGCCACTTCTCTTAGCAAAAAGTTGGTAAGATTCAAGATTCAGAAAGATTTTGTAAATTGAATAATTTCTAGGTTTTACCAAATACAGCATGCCATTTGTCACTTTTTAAGACTACTACTTCCAGATGTCATACAAATATACCTGTAGCAGCCCCAAAGTGCAATCTCATGAAGAAGTTGTTAAGGACTACATTTCCTGACATAACCCTAGAATAGATAAAAGTCTAAGTATTCATGGGAGGTGGGAGTTGGCAACTGACAGAGAGTGTTCAGCATTCAGTAGAGCTGGGTTCATGACATGGATTTAAGTCAAAGATGGAACTCAGTTTTTATGCTATTTAAAAAATGAAATGTTACTGGCTCACTGTGGGTGCTGATATTGTGAAAATCGCAATATGAGAAGCTATGAGAAGGAAGATATCACCTTTTTTTAGGTTAAGGAAAGGCTGATCTATGGAGCTGGGGTGTTTTATAATGCCAAAGAGGCCTTTATGACTAACAGATTACCATAACCTATCATGAGGGCACTTTTTACAGCAACCATAGCAACAGATGTATTGAAATAAATCAGCTAAGAATTTCCTTTTTTTATTTGAGGTCCATATCTACCAAATACAGCACGCCATTTGTCACTTTTTAAGACTACTGCTTCCAGATGTCATACAAATTGTTTTTAAAGCCAAAGTGTGAGGTCCCAATTTGGATTGGGTCTTCAGTGTGCATCTACAGAAAGAAAACAGCACCATTTTAAATTAGAAGAATTCACTTCCCTTTGGGAAGAAATATATGAAGTTTATTCTACAGAAGTACAGAACAGAAAGAAAAATATGCTCATTTATCTGGGCATACACCTAACTGAACTCATATGAGGAAAAAAATGTATCAGTTGCACTGTCATAAAAGTCTGGTGGCTGCTCCTACATACACTCAGCCTTAGATTCCCCTTCCCCCTCTGAGCTTCCTGATCCTGTACATCAAGGGTGTCAAACATAAGGCCCGGGGGCAGGAACAGGCCCATCCAGGGCTCTTACCCGGCCCGCAAGCCACTGGTATATATGGAAATATAAGCGACTCCCCCTCTTGCAGTAAACCTAGTCTTACATATGATAAAATACATTTATTGGGGCTTTTGTGGACTCCCCAGTAAATCAATTGCTTTCACTGCTAGGAATCAATTGCTTTTGTTTGTATTTTGAGTAAAAATAATATCATTAATTGGGTTTTCCTGTGTCCTTTACAAAGTTTATCTCTCTGGTACTTGCATTACATTTTATGACACACATGGCCTGGCCCGACAGAGAGACATTTATGTCATATCTGGCCCTCGTGACAAATGAATTTGACACTTCTGCTGTACATGCTATAAAATGCCCTCATGTTGCCTCTCATGTGGCCAGTTCCAATATTTTGCAGGGATTGAAAATAGTCTGCTGCAGCAGCAGACTATGGTCCTTTCTTAGGTGCAGGCTCAATGGGTTTAGATGTGCACAATTAGCTGCACAATAAACCATCAACTGGCCCCAAGGAATTTGCTTGCCAGGATGGAAAGCCTTGTTGTTGCTGGTGTATAGGCAAACCATCAACTGGCCCCAAGGAATTTGCTTGCCAGGATGGAAAGCCTTGTTGCTGCTGGTGTATAGGCAAATGCTTTTGCAGAAGACTGGTTTGCAACCGAGTTCCCTTGCCTTAGTGTGATAAGGCTAGCTGTTATGGTGCAGTTCATATTAACCAGACGTTTTCTTGCACCAGTACAAAATGCTTACCTCATATAGCTGTGCTGTGCAGAAGTTTTGATACAGCTATATAGTACAAGGGAGAAATTAGGCAGAGCAGGAACATGCGAACAGTAACACTGGTGAGGTCAGTCAGCATCCAATCTCTTATGCATTCTTTGCACTAGGGAGGTGTTTGGCATAGAAAACACAGCACTATGTGTCATACACAGCTCCAGAAAACATCCTTCTACTTCAGTGACTAGGTAAACTGAGGACAGGACTGTGATCACCTGAAAGCTAATCACTGCAATAGAGCACATGGATACACAAGATGGAGGAAAGCTCTCATATCAGTACAGGCAGCATGGGGTCATTATACCTTTCTACCACATCTAGAAAACCACACACACACATGAAGCAGTGGCAAGAACCACTATGTGACTAAGTGAGCAAATAGTCCACATCTAATATTTAGGATCAACAAAGGACTATGGAAAGAAGGGCAATTATTTAATGTATGTGTTCTTATCTTAACTGTCTCCAAAGGTGCTTGCCTTGAGACTCTGGATGTGGATTCAGGCAAGTACAATTTCCCATTGTGAGTGTGTGCATGTGTGGCGGGAGCATCCATTCAGAACAGTGTAATTTGAAAGGTTTAAATACACAGTTCTGTGGCCACAGGATATTTGATGGACCTCTAAAATGTGCTAAGTTGAAAGTTATTTGCAGATGCTGTACATTAGACTGGACTCAAACTCAGTTCTCACGTCTGTTTAACTCTTGTATGTGTATGCTAATTTAGTGCTATTCACAGATTTTACCAATCACTTTAATCCAATCTCCGCTATAATCACCAAGTTACTTATGCATCTTGACTCTAACTAGCCCTTCTTGTCAACTATCCCCCCCGACCCTCTATCTATATGTAATGGTTGAGGATTTCTTGTTTCACTGTATCTGACGAAGTGTGCATACACACAAAAGCTTATACTTTGAATAAAACTTTGTTGGTCTTAAAGGTGCCACTCGACTCAAACTTTGTTCATTAGACCTTTTTAAACAACATCATTCTATGTGTTTTTCATTTTTGTTGTTGTTTGTTGTTCAGTCGCACAGCTGAGTCGGACTCTTCATGACCCCATGGACCACATCATGCCAGGCCCTCCTGTCTTTCGTCGTGCTTCAGAGTTTGCTTAATTTCATGTTAATTGCATGGCTATGCTTTGCAATTGGGCGGGAAGCTCCACTACACACCTGTGCCATTGAGAGCTGGTGCTGCAGGTGGATTTTGCATTACTTTCTCCAAATGCACTATAGAATGGACATCGTATGTATCAGAAAGAGGGTGTAAGCCTCTTGATGACCCACCGGAGCCCCCTCCAAGCCCAGGAAGCTGAGCAACTTGCATGCCTTTTCATTACACAGTGCTAAATAAAATGCCTTGATCTACTTTAGGTACATTTAGAATTTGAGAAGTTCTCATTCTGTATTTGTGCAATATATCAACAGAATATGAATTAATCAATTTACCAAAAATATAACCATCTAAATGACCAGCACTGTGTACAAGAGTCCAGCTAAGTGTGGAACACTTTAGACTGCTATTATTTCCTATATGCCATTTTACCTCTTCTTTTAACATGCACATATACACAACCCAGTAAGTCAGTCATGTACTATATTTTATTTATCAAAATATTGTTTCAGCTGTTACAGGACACAATACAATTCACCACATACAAGCAGGAACTTACTCATAAATATCCACAATTGCTTATAAAAACACAATTTGCATGTAAGCAGTATATCTTAAAAGATACTATGAAAAAATTAATTGGTATAGGTTGGTTTCTGTGCAAAATAAAGTGTACATTCTGGTAAAGGTACATTTCAATATACACTTCTGGAAAAAAGACTCTATATAGAGCTTGTAGAAAACCAAATTATTGAGGTTCAAAGACGTCTGTTTTTGGGCACCAACTCCAAAACACAACCAAGTATACAGTGATTTTAATGTTCTGTCTAACCATACAGAAATGGTTGGCCTGTGTCATGAATGTTCATATATGACCTTTTTAAAAAGTCTGGCTTTTTTTTAAGCCAAAAAGAAGGAATAGATAAAATGTACTGCTGTAAACAGACCTAAAAAAAGTCTTTATCTTCAAGGCTTGTCATATACATCCACAAATGGTCTTTTAACAATAATTTCAGAGCTTATTGACTTTTCATGTCTTCATTGCCTGAATCTGATCTAGATAAAATAAACAAAACTCGCATTAAAATACTGTGCTTCATGTTATTTTGTCTATAGACTTCTAGTATTATTAAAGCGTCTGAACAATTACATAGAACCAAGTACTTCTTAGTTTTTACTGATGTAAAAAGAAGTACTTCTACTTCTTGGTTTTTACTGAAGTTATATTAATATGATAGCTGTATTGGCAAACTATGTCTAGTGTCTTTTCTCCAACAAAATTAGTAAGTAATTTTATGGTGTTTTAATCTTTTTATTGTCTTATTTTGTAAGCTGCCTCAGGCAGGTTCCCTGAAGAGGCAGGATAGAAATGTTCCAAATAAATATATGGTGCATGTTCATATTGGATTCACAGTTATAGATTTTCTGAAGGTAATTTTGAACAATTTGTCGATGTTTTGTCTATTGTATTCAAGTAGGCTCTTTACTTACCCTATATCATAGCAGCACCTACTTTTAATCTCTCAAAGTTGAGTCTCTGCTGACATCTTGTGGTGTCTTTTAGATAAAATACTGAAGTGATGCCAACCTTTTCAAATCACAACTAGTGTAGATGGCATACTTTATTTATAGAGTTATACTGGACCCTGCCCCAAGTTTCAAAGCTGATAACAAATAATAATTTTTTGTTTATATTTAATTTCTACTGAAACCAGTGCTCATTTATCTAATGAGTTAAGTTCCCCTCATGTACAATTTAAAATGTTTTGGTTGTACTGACAGAAAAAAAATCCATTTGCAACAGTCTTCTGATATACACTACCATATTTAATAAAGAATTTCTCCATTAGTAACATATAATACCAAATGAAATAATATGGAAGATTTGTGCATACTTGCATTGTTTACTACTTGCAATGGTAAACGTAAATAAATATTGTGTTCTGTAATATCACACACTGCACCACAACCACTTCTTTTAAAAGTGTGTTTTAATGAATGCATACGTTTTAGGTGGAGTACTATTATCTGTACAATAATTTAAAGTAATCTACAGAGATTAATTTAAGAGAAACATTTACTGCCAGAGTGTGGTGTAGTGATCAGACTGTGAGACACAGGTCTGTGAGACACAGATTTGAATCCTTGCTCTGCGAAGGAAGTTTGCTGGGTGACCTTGAGCTGGTCACATACTCTTAGCCTAATCTACCTCTCAGGCTATTGTGAGAGTAAAATGGAGGAGAGGAAAAACGTAAATTGCTTTGGGTCCCCATTGGGGAGAAAGGCAGGGTATAAAATAAGTAAATGTTAATATTAAAATCAGCTATGCTTGTTGTAGCAATAAAGCACAAGCAAAAAGAGTTCAAATGTTGAGTTCGACATGGATACTCACTGTGTAATTTGATCTGATAGCAGAAATAGGTAGAAATAAGGCAAAACAAAATGGTGAAAAAGATTATTTTAAAAAGAGATTAGTGAAAAGAGAAGCAGCTAAGGCAAAAATGTGTTGAACATACCCTGAAGCCAGTCTACACCTTCCTGCAATCCTTCTCCTTTAAGAGCATCACTAGCACTAAAAAAGAATATAGACCACAGTTTAAAAGCATATTAAGCACATTGAGAAAATAAAAATCTTAAATTTTACAAACAGTAGAGATTACAAGTATACATTCATATTGGAAATTAGATTATGTGAGAGAATGGCTGTTCCCACACAAAGAAGCCTTCCTGCAGATCCCCTTCCTCTTTTGCCAACAACAAAACAGGTGATATCAAGTAATTGTGCTGAGTTTCTTTGCCCCCTACAAAACGAACGAACAAACAAAAGTAGCCAATACAATGAGGCAAGGGCAAGGAAACTTGTGCTGTCTTGGTTCTGGTGTTAATCTCTAATAAGTATTAAGAAATGAGATATCCACAAAACGGTGGGAATATGTGAGGAAACTGAATCGTAAACAAAGGCTACAGTAGTGGGGAGAGCAGAGAAGGGAAATAGAAGCAGTTCAATTACCCTTCCATTTGCTCTCCCGATTTTCTCTTTTTTCTCCTGGGCACTTGCTTCTTCCTCCATCTGCTGCTTCATCTTCCCACTTTTCACAAGCGACTCCTAACTCTCTCACCCTTTCACTGATTTGTTTCCAGCACCTATCAGGGAGGGGTTTTTTTTACTCATTTCTACCCCTTCAACCACTTTTTTCATCCTAACTAAATGAGAACTTTTAGTTCTTTTAAAGAAAAGATAGTGAGCATCTGACTGTGACAATGTGTTTAGGGAGGGAGGACAAAAGCTGTTTCTGATCTTCACAACACTTGGAATTTTTCTGGATTTGAAATCTTGTACATTCCTATTTATTTTAAATACTAGGAAAAAGGCCTGTTGTGGAAATAAATACAACGGCCTCTAGAAAGAGGCTCTGGGCGGGTGCCCCGGCCTTGGACACTCAGTGTCAATTTGCTGTGGCAACCTCAGGCAGTTATAATTCTGAGGGATCTCCAGCCCTCACCTGAAGATTGGACACATTTTACCTCAGAATGTTTAGAGGCAAAAGCCAATCAAGTCGCATATGCAAACGACCTCTGTGTTCAGAGGCAAACGCCAATGAGGCTGCATATGCAAATAACCTCTGTGTTCTGATTGGCTATGGGGGGGAGAGGAACAGCAAAATGTTTAGAATGTTGGAGGCAGGACTCAGGCAAAGCAGCCAGTGGATAGGGAGACCCTCAGAATGACAGATCAGAGAGCGAACTGATTTTGGAGCATGTGGAATGTTCTAGAGAAGTGCCATCACCATTCGGCTTTTATTTATAAGGGAGATAATATTAAAGAAAAATAGTACAACTATTGTTGGACAGTAGTTTAACTTTAGAGTGGTTCCTCAGTGGAACAGGCTTTCTTGGGAGGTGGTGAGTTCTCCTTCTTTGGCGGTTTTTTTAACAGAGGTTAGATGGCCATCTGACTGCAATGCCGATTCTTTGGTGGTTTTTTTAACAGAGGCTAGATGGCCATCTGACTGCAATGCCGATTCTGTGAACTTAGGCAGATCATGAGAGGGAGGGCAGGAAGGGTTGCATCAGTGCTTAGTTCTTGTGGCCCTTTCTTACACGCCCAGGGAAATGGTGATCGCCACTTTGGGGTCAGGAAGGAATTTTTCTCCAGGCCAGTTTGGCTGAAGATCCTGGAGGTTTTTTGCTATCTTCATCACTTTTGACATCATCACTGGGGGTGACAGTTTGTATGACCAAACTATAAGCTGTGGGAGGGTTTAGTCTTTCCTCTTTGCAAGATATGTGTAAAAACATTTTGATCTTTTTACACATTCTTAAAATGAGTAAATTTTAATTCAGACCTCTGCCTCAAGGTCTTAAATACCACACATTTAAATGGTACCCGTTATTTGTTTAAGGTGACTGCAGAACCTCCCTTGAACTGATTTTATCCACGAGATGCTGTTACATTTTGACACATTTTGCTACATTTTGCTATCTCAGTGTTTGGTATATGAAAAAAAGATGCTGAAGACCTACTGCTTTCAAAGTGCAGAACAACAGAAGGATGCTATTGTGCTAAAGAACTATGGATTGGCTCTGAAGTACAGCAAGCTGACTAAAGCTCACAGAATGTGATGTTCAGGCCCTCAGCCACTGGAAATTCTGCTCCTGGGTATCAGAAGACCTTCGTAAACAGTGCAGGAGATAAAGTGGAGGTTTGTAGCAGGAGAGAGAAGGCAAAAATTGCCCTCCATTTTCTGTTCCAACAGTACAACAGTACCTTTGGATCCAACTGTATGAGTTCTGTATAGAAACACAGCTGAGATTTATTATTACAAATACATGTTTGAAATAAGATATATTTTACCACTGTCCATCAGCAATAACTGAACAGATGATACTATTCATTTCAACTGATATGTTTCTATTATTACTATGAACTAGTAAAAATATGTTTCTAATTAGTTTATTCGTTTTTTTAAAAAGCACAGCCCCAACATGAAAACTGAAATACCAATCTTTTATGAAAAATTACTATCAAGGCATTGCTTTGCAAATGCAGGTGAAAGTGAGTACACATTGCTTTCAGCATTTGCAAACGTTCTACAACAGATTTTGCTCAGTTCAATATAAAGTATGATTACAAATGGATCATCAGTTATCTAACCTTTTAAAAACAGAATAATACTAGAGTTAGTAAATTCAGGCATTTCAGATCTATGTGAATACAACATAAAACTATCAGCTTTACCAGATATGCCATGGCTTGTCTTTGATATTCTCTAAGGATAATAACTGAGAGACTTTTACTGAAGACACAGCATCCCTGAGATCCATCTTGTTTGCAAAGAACAAAATTGGTATTCGCCGATGTTTAATATCTAAGGGGGGGAAAACAGGAGTAACTTTGTTATTTCTATCACCATTTTTGTGCAGCAAATTTTGAGAAGGAAAAGTGATACATACATTGCTCACCTGTCACTGTCATCCTCTGAAGATTGCATTCTACCAAGATGCACACTCGGGTGCATATTTCAGCAGAACTCTCAAAGTAACCCTCCTAAACTCATGCATTCATTTAAGACTGTCATACAAATTGTTTATAATGAAAGCAAAGTGCCTTACACTGTTCAAATAAAAGCAAAGCCCCTTAGTGAAGATATTCCAATATACACAAAGGAAAAGTTGATAAACCCATTAAAATATGAAATCCAAATTTTGGATATGAAAAAGTTATAATCTGGAATAGGGATTTTTGATTAATATATAAGGTAATACTTGTCCTGCTTATGAATGAGTGGAAATAAGATAACTAGGTCATAAGCATTCTATGCAGTCAATAAAATTTCATTACCACTTGGCATGATGTATATTTTCTAACATCAGAAGAGTTATGATACTGAGGGAAACAAACAAACTGCATCATGATTAGCAATAAGAGAATTTAAACTGGGGCTATTCTGTCACCACTCACGAAAATAGTAATTATTGAAAGCATCCATAATTCTTTTGAAAAACTGCATAAAAGTCACAATTACTCTTTTACTGCAGCATCTGAAAAATATATGTCTCTCACTACTTCTGCACTATGGAGTAGGGGTGTGCAAAAAACACAACTACCCAGTATCTTTCGAGTTCAGGTATACTGAATCTGAAAAATATCAGTATTTACCAATATTCCCAAATCCCAATACGTATGGTATTTGGATTCAGTAAATATTTGGGATTCCTGAAAAATTTTGGCTCCATTATACCCTATGGGGACCACTATAGTCAATGGTCCCCATAGGGTATAATGGAAAATCGATCTGGGTGTATCTGGGGCTTTCTGGGAGCTGTTTTTTGAGGTAGAATCACCAAATTTGCAGCATAGCTGCTGGTGCCTCTCCTCAACCCCCCCCCCCAGGTTTCAAAAAAGATTGAACTAGGGGGTCCAATTCTATGAGTCCCAGAAGAAAGTGCCCCCATCTTCCATTATTTCCAAGGGAGGGGGGAAGGCATTTAAAAGCAACATGGTCCCTTTTGCGAGCCATGAGTGAACTCCAAAGTGGCGAGTTCACCTGGAAGATGTTTAAAGGGAAACCAATCCCTTTACACACCAGCTATCCAGCAGACCTGAAAAATCCTGAATATTTTCAGGATTTTTTTCAGGCTCAGCCATTTTGGCTAGCTTTAGACAATATCATGCTTTATAATCAGTTGAAAAAATGTCCGGAAAATATCCACACTTTCAAAATGAATTTAAGTATGTTGGAAAGACAGCAAGTGAGTGGTAATGATTTGTCTGAGAACTAGACCTGCTTTCAATCTCACCATGTGTATTCCTATAAAAGTTCCCATAATTTATGTTACAGATATAGATCAAGCTTTGAAATATGCAGACAAATGAGAATCCTAGCAATTCGGTGGCCTTGGGATTACACTGTTACTGTTCTTTTTCTTTGGCAACTACGAGGGGCTGTGGCTCAGTGGTAGAGCATCTGCTTTGGCATGAAGAAAGTCCCAGGTTCTATCCCCAGCATCTCCAGTTAAAAGGATCAGGGAGTAGGTGATATGAAAGACCTCCATCTGAGACCCTGGAGAGCCACTGCCAGTCTGAGCAGACAGTACTGACATTGATGGACCAATTCAGTATAAGGCAGTTTCATGTGTTTCACAGAAAATATCACAACAAGAAGTGCTGTCTGTTAATCAGAAAAATCAAATCTTAAGATCAGATCAGTGAACCAATAGTGGATATCTATGCAAAAACAATATATTTCAATTATTTAAAGGGGAAATATATATTAGGATAGCTCTGTATCTGCCTGTTTTTCTTCAGTATTTTTTTAAACCAAGACATTAATTTTAAATAGTCACACAGTGAAAATCTCTCTTATATATAAAGCTCATTTCGTGTGAGACTCGCCTGAACGTTCCACACGCCTCCCTAGCCTTTGGGTCTGTGACCTGTCACTCAGTACGGGGTCCAATCCCATACCTGGATCGCCTCTCTCCATCGCCTCGGCCCACCCACAGACCCACCAGGCGGCCTCTCACCTGCAGTCTGTGCGGGGCCGCCGGCTGAGAGCCAACCTGTCTTCACAGCCACCTTCTGCGGCCGCTCGGTGCCCTTCCAGAGGGCAGGATACTGTGTGGCCTCTCTGCAACCGGCGCACTTGCTGCCTTGCCCTACCGGTGCCTCCGCCAGACGGGGGGGAGTCAGGCTGGCCCACTTGGCCTCCTCCACCTGTGGGGACCTTCACCACGCTGGCCAGGCAGGGTGCTGGGCGCGCCATTGCGGGAGGGCTGCGGCTAATCGCCTTGGCCTCAGGCCGGCGGCGGTGCCGCGCCCCTTCCCCCCTTCACTGCCCAGCTGCCCTGGGTGGCAGGGTGCCCCCCCACCAACGCTAGTGCCCACTGTCTCTTGCTACAGCAGGCCTTCTTCCTAGTAATATATAATAGTAAAGTGATTTTGCCTGTTTCATTTGTCTAAGTATTTCTCCGAATTTCAGGTAACAGGTTGACAAGAGGACTTATAAGACTTCTTTCTTGCAAGTCACTCTGTAACAGTGACAATGCAAACAAACTTTAAATTTCTAAAAAGAACATTTATTTAAATCAAAGGAGGTTTCATCAATATGTTAAGCTTTTCTTTTTGTCATATTGAGATAATATAACATTTCACTAAGTCAAAATTCTATTGACAAGGTCATCATTACTAGTAGGACACAACTTTCTTTCTTCAGCAGATATTAATAATCCAGTAGCAAAGATGAACAAGCTATTTATTATCAAGCTTCACATTTCAGTATTCTGTCCTGCCAATATATGTTTCATCCTTTACACAATTTTTACAGCTGACTCAAAAGACAGAACTGTGCTGTTTCACAGAGCATTTAGCAGAGTCCTACATGAAGTAATCTTCTAACTGAAACACATGTCAGCATTTCAAAGTAATTTATATAATCTTTTTCACTAAAAACACCTTTAAATAAAAGCCTAAAATTTTAAGACTATGGCCTTGGCTGCTCATCTTTAAGTTGTGAACAAAGCAGCAGTTATTACGGGAATGTTCTCAATTTCCTTGTGAATTCATTTATTGAAACATTTTCATCATGTTTTTGATAAGACTGCTCCTAAAGCAGCACTCTAATTTTTATTTATTTATTCAAATCAAAATTTTATAATTCCTTAGTGCTTTGGAATTTGAACCTGAAGGGGAACAGAAGGAAGTATAATAGATCTGCCTTAACCTAGCAGTCCTGATAAAATTTGTATGAATTATGCTACACGGTTATCTCCACAGGGCAACAGGTTGAAAATACACCAGACATTGTTGTCCTATCTTCTTTATACAGAACAGTAGCCAGCGTCAAAACTGGAAGAACAAGCTATTTATCAAACTAACAAGTAGTTTCTGACAGCATAGCAACTCATGTAGTAGAGTCCACAAAGCAAAAAGTATAGTCCAGTAAATTGTTTTTATGCCAAAAATAAGAAGTAGGTTCAATAAAAGGTAAAGGGTCTCCTCACCTGGATGATTCAGAAGGGTGTCAAGTTCTTCTTTGGCTACAACCATTCTGAGTTTGTCACTACTATCAATGACAAAAATAATAGCCTGGCCTTCTCTGTACAATATAGAAAGAAGGAAATTATAGGTTCTCTAAAATGTTGAACAATGAATCATCAGAATCCTACTTCAGTGTGTTAGTGTAGGCATCCAATTTCTTCTAGACTTTAACAACATCAATGCCTCTCTCTGCAACTCAGGTTACTTTCAAAATAGGCATGGATATTTTTTTAAAATGTACAGTCCTATTTCTTCTAGCTTATTACAGCATATTAGTTGGTGGCATGTAATTCTGTAACCTGTAACTTCTCCAATATACAATTCAGCAAAGTTAAGGCATTTATTCTGTTGCCAAACAGGGCTCTTCTGGCCAATCAACCTTGGGGGAGGGGACAGTTATATTCATTTTTTCATAAGGTCCTTATGTACAATCTTATGGAAATAGTAATGAACTTGCTACATTTCAAATCACATCAAGGGGTCAGTAGGTTTGTTGCACTTCATCTACCAATCTAACAGCGCAATGCTAAGCAGAATTATATCCTTCTAAATCCACTGAAGTTAACACATCACAAGAAAGATTCACATGGGTAACTGTGTTGGTCTGAAGCAACAGAACAAAGTTTGAGTCCAGTGGCACCTTTAAGACCATCAAAATTTAATTCTGGATATAAGCTTTTGTGTTCATGCACACTTCTTCAAATATCTGAGGATACCTGAAGTGTGCATGCACACGAAAGCTCATACTCAAACTTTGTTGGAATTGCATCACAAGAAAGTCAGTTGAGAGTATGACAGATGCCTGTGCATCTCCATACTGAATCCATGGATAGTTGTATTTCTCACTGTAAGGAACTAATGAAGAAATCATGTGGCTTAACTTTTCCCCATACCTAAATAATAATGAAATTACAATATGGCTAAAATCCTGAGATTCTTTAGCTGTGGACTAGCCAACAGAAGGTACTATAAATGAAATTTTGAACATTGCAAATTCCATTTGAAATAAACACTTCAACACAGATTTAATCCAGACACAATACAGTTGCATAGGAACACATACAATTCAACCTGCATCTGCCCTCTGATGCTGTAATTTTTAACAAATCAGTGAGTAATTTTTGCCAGGTATCTAAAGCCACCGACTATATTTATTGTTAACATCAGACAAAGAAAATTAGAATATGGAAAGCAAGCATTTTTACACAGCTCAGTCTTCCCTCCCAAACCAGGAAACCTTGTTAACAGCAGCAAGTCTTTTATAATGGACTTAATCATTGGCTTATAATTAAATCTGAATGGTTGTGTTGATGTAGAAGTAATATAAAAACCAAAATATCATACTGGAAATAATTATGGAGCAGTGGTATGTCTCTTTGTTAGAACAGTCATGGCTGGGGTAGGAGGGACATGTAAAATGTTAAGATTCCAAAAAATTACTTAGGCCCAAAGCAGCCTATAATCTATAGCTATGGGAGCAGAGCTCGTGGAAGGCCCTCAATTGAAGTCAAACTGCAACAGATTATCATTATATTTTCCAAGCATTAACTTTGTTGAAAAGTATTTCAATTTATAGTCTATCTTGGTTTCCTATTTCTAGGAAACTGAAACAGTGTTCTAAACTAGACAAACAAAATTTAGTGTTTCCAGATGACCGGCTTGTATAATTATTTGGGAAGCTGTTGACACTATACTGTTATCCCCCCTCTCACCAAAAATACCAACAAAATTTAACCTGCTTTCTCTGTATTCAGGAATTAATGTGCCACCAAAAAATGAAAAAGAGAATGAACACACTAAAATAACAGTGATAATCAGATAACTTATACAGATATTCTTTAAAACGTTTCTTAAAAGCTTAATTTCTGCCTTGTAAAAGACAGAAAGCACCTTTCTTGCAGAATGGTGTGGGGCCAACACCAAAAAAGCATGAGATCAGCCAACTGTGCTTCTTATACCCTTACAAGAGGAGATATGCAGTAAACCCTGTTGTGATCATCTCAGTTGCTGCACCGGCCTGTTTTACTGTTTGTAAGACGTAGGCAACAGATGCAAACTATAATTACTTTTAATATGTTAATCGATTAACTATCATTATCACTCAGTAGTATAACAATAAATCTCTAATAATCAAGGACTGGTTATATTAAAATTTAGGACAGAGAGGTCAATGTCCAAGTTTACCAAGTTCTTTTCCCCTTGGAAACAATTTTAATGGTAATTTTTAATGCTTCTATTTCCTTGGTTATGCTGCAAATATAACAAGAAGAATCCCCAAAACCTCAAATGGAATTCCACTTCTTCCACAGCTCCCAAAAGCCAGTCTGGAAAGTTGGGGGACTTTTGGGAATAATGTGGCATATGGAGCAGGAAGCTGCAGGGCATTGAAAACTTTGATACCACCTTGTGCCAGGAGAAGTGCCTTCCATTTCTGCAAGGCCTGGTTTGGATCCAATCAATTACATCTTATGAATTATGTAATTTGTACATTTTAATATCCACAATGTTATTAAAATTCCATTTAAAAGTTTCATAAAAGTATATGCTTGTATAAAAGTCCCAAAATGCTTTTGGTACCTTTGGCCAAATATCCAGAAGTGCATCACACAAAAATGTTGCTCAATGAATAAGGGGCAGAGCAGTTTAGAAATTCTGCATAGCCACACACATATTTAACATGGCTAGGAAACAAAGAAAAATTAATTAAGGAATTCCAAATAAAGTTATTTCATATGAGACTTTTTATATGTAAGGAACCAAAACATAGGTCTCCTCTGAACCAGTAATTAACTGGCTACAGGAACAATATTTGGTGTTTCTCTACTAGTAATTTAGGTGCCACCATCCTTTGAAATTGTGCCGTGCATCATTATATGAAACAGTAGAAAGAAAACCTTTGGAGTCCTCTTTGAATTTGGGATGGATTCAGTGTGCAAAGACTGTTAAGACAGCAACATTCTTTATCTTGATCTAAAATGCTAAAATTACAATTGCCTAAGACATCGAGATTTTTGCCAAGAGCTGGTTCTCTTTTATATGCCATACTATTTTGGGCTGAAGTTTTTTTGAGCTTTTTTATTATTATACAACGTTTGTATTAGCAAAGCTGATACGAACCACTTTTCTAAAGCATATATGGCTATTTTAGGAATCTGATGTTTTCATAACTTCACAAAGTAAATACCTGATAACTCTCAGACAATTACTCAGAAGTGTTCATTTTTCAGTGCAATCATAGGTTTAATAACAGCATCATAACTGCACTATTTATTTATTTCACTTATACCCTGCGTCTCTCCCAAATGAGGATCTGAACTGGCTTACATCATTCCCCTCTCCTCCATTTTATTCTCATAACCACCCTGTGAGGTAGGTTAGACTTAGACTAAGAATGTGTGACTGGCTTAAGGTCACCCAGCTAGCTTTCATGTCAGAGTGAGGAATCAAACTAGAGTCTTCCAGATCCCCTAATCACTACACCACACTGTCTCTTACATTACTTTACAACTTGTCTAAACTACTTAGAATCTTTGTAAATTATCACGAAATATCAGATGACTTTTTTTCAAAAACTGTTAATAATGCAAACTATTTTTTTTTTAAAAGTTACTTACTTGTAGTAGTGTTCCCAGAGATTTCTGTATCTACCTTGTCCAGACATATCGAACACAGTAAATGACAAACTATAAAGAGATAGTAAAATATATAATTGGAACTTAACTTTCAGTGCTGTAATCCCAAATACATATACTTGGGCTTGTTTCTGAGTACACATGCATTTGCTTGAAACTTTAAAGAAATAGCTCTCCAGTCAATAGGAAGTTCTAAATTTCAGTTTTAAGTATCACACACAAGCAAAGATCAAAATAATCAAGGATATATTGAAACAAAATTTTTGAGAAAGTTGATTTCTTAAAATATGTTGACTATGAAGTTTATATTTATGCAACTCCCGTAAGCTTTAGGTCCCTAGGTCCCTGCCTGGGTTTATATCTAGTGTCTGTACAGCAATGGAAAAAAAATCAAACAGCACAGTAAGTGATACGACATCTTTTGATAATCAACCCTTACATCTAATATATCCCGTGAAAAAGATGATATGCTCCTCTAAATGTGTAATTGTACGATGCAAATAAAATGGCTTACCTGGATGTCTTGAATTTCTCAATACTGAATCCTATTGTGGGAACGATATCTTGAGTTTGAGCCTTCAAAAACAAAATATTCACCTTAAAAACTAATCTGTGAAAAATTGTAATACTATTGTACTTTTATGTCTTGTATTTATTTGTATTTATTTACTCAGATTACTATCCATAGTGTTATTAAAATTAAATTGTAAAGCTGGCAGTAGGACATAGTGTTATTAAAATTAAATTGTAAAGTTGACACACAGATGACACACAAAAATGTTTACAAAGGGGGAAAGTTGTGATTTTAAGTTTACTTCCACAAGTTCTTAATTGACTAATTAATAGCTCTGCGGTCTTCTTATTTGCTTTGATGATTGAAATCAATAACCTGTATCCACAATCAGACATATGTTTAGTTCATCTGCTGCTATTAAGGCTTATATAGAACCTCATTTTTCTCTGTAACGACATGCAGTTTTGCTACTTTATTATTGGAAAATATGGACATCTTATCTCTATGCTGGAATTCTGCTTCAGAGAAGTCATGCTTCTTCAGACAACATCCAAACTGTATACTGTTATTACTGGGAAATGATCATTCTTCCTCCTGAAAGTGTAATTGTGGCTAAAGTGATTGTGGAGTGTAATGCAGTTATGTGACAGTCACAGGTACTTATAGGACACCACTGGCATCATACTGATGAGCAACTCCATGCCCATATAATGTATAGTTTATTTGAAGCCATAGTTTATTTTCTCCCTTAATGAAGGATGAGTACTTCATTCACAAGGACACATGAGAGCAAAAGGTTCGTATGACCGTTGTAAAAGAAAATGACGAACGTCGGCGGGACCATCACTTTTCTGAACTATTTTGTTTTATTTATTTTATTGGGTTTATATCCCGCCCTATCCCAAAATAGGCTCAGGGCAGCTCACAACAAAGTTCAATAACAATAAATATAAGTAGATTAAAAATTAAAAACATTCAAACAATCATATAATGAACAGTAATCAGGATGGCAAAACCAGATAATACATTTTTCAGGGCATTCCATTTAAAACTTCCTGCAGGATGATCAGACTGATGATTCTCAAAACAGTACTATGGGCAACTGTGTGGGCAGGGGAGGCCACAATGGACTCAGAAGCCTGCCGTCTCAGCCGAAGGCCTGGTGGAACAGCTCCGTCTTACAGGCTCTGTGGAACTGTAATAGGTCCCGCAGGGCCCGGATCTCACATGGGAGCGCATTCCACCAGGCCAGGGTCGAAAAAGCCCTGGCCTGGGTTGAGGCTAAGCATATGTCTTTCGGGCCAGGGACCACCAGTATATGTTGCTCAGCAGAGTGCAAGGCTCTCCAGGGCACATACAGGGAGAGACGGTCTTGTAGGTATGCTGGTCACAGGCTGCATAAGGCTTTGAAGGTCAATACCATGACCTTGAACTGGATCGGGTACTGTACTGGCAGCCAGTGCAGTTGGCAAAGCACTGGCTGAATGCACGCCCACATTTCTCTGTTCTTTAAAGGGTGCCTTTTTTTAAAGACTGCAAATTGGCTTGCACAGTAAAGGAAAACTAGCGTAATCCCCCAGTTCCTTAACACTGTCGTCACTGCTAACACATTTCCATTTCTGGCAAAGGCAACATTCTTTAGATGTTTTTAGCAACTCTACATGGTATTGTATTTTATCAAAAAATTAATACTGTGTAATATTTAAATTCTAAGGTTTCTGATATATCTTCACTTAACAAACAAGAACACAGATTGTGAATACTAAATTATGTTTTCCACCTTCCTTATATCTGCAAGATCATTATTACTGAAGTCAATCTATGAATCATTAAATACACACATGCTGTTGAGAAACTCCTTGTTGAACAGGGCTTCACTGCCTTGTTCCTTTGACCTATGAGATCTTACTTTTTTACCTGTCAATGTTTACTTGATGTAATGCGTTGATACGTTTATTGTTTCAGGGCTCTTTTTGTAGAAAAAGCCCAGCAGGAACTCATTAGCATAATAGGCCACACCCAACAGCAGAAAATCATTAGCATATTAGACCACACCCCTGACAGCACAGCTCATTAGCACATTAGGCCGCACCCCCATGTTACCAGAAGTGTGGTCATCCAGCCACACCCACCTTTTGCTTCTTATTCTGTTTACCTTGTTTGTTGTCAAAACCCAGGGCTTTTTTGTAGCAGGAACTCCTTTGCATGTTAGGCCACACATCCCTAATGTAACCAATCCTAATGAGTTTCTGCTGTTGGGTGTAGCCTATTATGCTAATGAGTTCCTGCTGGGCGTGGCCAACTTGGGAGCCAGCCGGAACTCCGTTCCTGCGCGTTGTGCCCAAAAATAGCCCTGGTTAATATCAATCACAGGTTTACTGTATTATACCATTTTATTGACTATTGTAGTTTTTCAACTCTAATAATGATTTTTTTTAAAAAAAAAAATTAAAGATATACATTAAGGTACTGGTTATACTAAAAAATCTGGAAAACATTTTTGAGACACATACTTGAAAAGTCTGGTGTACAATTTTACATACAGATTTTTTTCTGTAGAATCTGTATAATTTCTGTATTCAAAAATTGCCATGTGTGAAATGGCTTCTAGATGAAGCTGCTACTGAGAATTTGTGTAGTGTAATGGCTAAGAGATTTGCAGTACAATCCTAGAAACACTTTCTTGGGAGTAAGCAGCATTGAACAGTAGGCTTCCACGTAGATCATCCCTTCTTGGTTGTGAATCAGGAAGTCCTCAACTCAAATATCTCCTCTAATAGGAAATCATCAGACAGTTTAAGCATGCTACTGGGTTGGATCCAACCAACTGGTGAAAAAGGGATAATGACATCCCCTTGAGCAACAAAAAGGCTCTATTGGTCATCATTGGACCTATATGTATAAAAGCCATGAAGTACTGGAACTGTAACAGGGATGAGAATTGGCCAAGATCAAATGAAAAAACTGGCTAGATCCAACCTTCTATCCTTAGCCCCCTCGCCACATTTAAAATAGGGAGATACTAACTTACAGAATTGTGCAAACACTTGAGATATCACCTACAAGCAGCTCTGAATGCTGTAAATGCTAAGAATAATATTCAGAATGTGTGTTAACTAACATTTAATTCTATTTGGGGGGGTCTTCTGTCTTGGTCCCAAAAAATAAAGAAAATACATATTTTGGATGATGTTACAACATTTGAAAAATGCATAGACTGAAAAGTATAACTACTAATTAGGTAGGTACAAAGTATCTGGTAATTCTTAACATTTTATTCACCTCTACCTGGAAATTGATTTAAGAAACACTCAACCATTTAACACCCAATGCACTATGTTTTCTTCTGCTGGAAAACATATCCTTTAAGAAATCAGTCTGTATTTGGACATGGGGATTATCTTGATCACCTACTAGTTAACCTACTGAGTTGCTGTAGCATATTTGATTCCCCCAAACTTTATCAATAAATACTGTGCTCAAAAATCAAACACCAGAATGGCCATGCTTTCTCCCCCTGAATGTACTTTATGCTGCTTCACATGCTACCCAAAGTTCTCCCAAATTTCAGGAAAAAATTATTTTGTGGCACAGAAAAGAAGAAATTCTTTGGGAAGGGGAGCTCAAAAAACCATGCAGAGCTCCACACATCAGATGTAAAAACAAGTAAAATATTTTAGTGTTACTTTAATGACTAACAGACAAGATACTTTCAGTGCAACCCTAAACAAAGTTACATCCTGCTAAGCCCATTGACTTCAATAGCTTTAGAAGGGCATATCTCTGTTTAGGATGGCACTATTGGTCATTTTGCCTTCAGCTAGCTAACACAGCTACATTCTTTTGTTTTTATACTTTATTTGTATTTTGATTACTGATGCTTATTTTTATAACTTTTCATTATTGATGTAGTGCCTACTCTGTGAGCCCAATATTAGTTGGTTACAAATACTCAGCTATATTTAAAAGCCAAAGGATAACAAGTAGAGTATGATTCGATTTTCATTAAAAAGTTTACACTTCCTTACAATTTAGCTAAAATCAAACAAAAATCTACTGACAGAAAATTAAATAGAGCAGCAACAATCACACTGTTTCAAACTCAACTGAACTCCTGAAGCTGCCTTATACTGAATCAGACCCATTGGTCTATCAAGGGCAGTATTGTCTACTATGGCTGGCAGTGGCTCTCCAGGGTTCCATGCAGAGGTCTTTCACATCACCAACCACCTGATCTTTTTTAAAAAATCTGGAGATTGAACCTGGGATCTTCTGCATGCCAAGCAGATGCTCTGCCACTGCTCCACAACTCCTCCCCAAATTAAAGTCTGATGTCTTAGTGAGTCATCTTTAATCCCTGCTATTTCTTTATATTGAGAAAATTCTTGGTATACTAGGGTGTAATATTTTCATAGCATTTTAATCCCACCCCCTTTGGTAAGATTTTCTATACATGACTATACTCTTCTACACTACACTACACTACAATAAGAAAATTTCTTATTACTTCATTGCATGGCTAAATCATATACAAGGGCAACTTCTATTAGCATCAGTTTTTCAGCATTCACAATAACCCATCTGTTAGCATGCTAAAAAGCCTACTTACATTAGATGGTTTCAGTTTATTGATGATAGTAGTTTTACCGCTATTGTCCAATCCAAGGCACAAAACATGAACTTCTTTCTTCTTCAAGCCAAGCCAACCTGCTAGTTTGTCAAATAATCCCATATTTGGATTGAATGGCACAGTCAGTACCAATATTTCTGAAGAATATGCCTATTTAAAACATGACAGGAAACATGCTCAGACATTTCAGACAAAGATCCTTGAGAGAAGATGGTTTCAAATGCTGTCACAACGGGCTACTTAACCTAAGTATCTAGGAAGTAAGCTGATTATTTGACAACAGCTTTAATGCGAAAGTAGATCGGCTAAATTAAAACTCAGTCTAAAGGACAATGTCCTTGGTTCAGCAAGTTATACTATGCAGTGCTATCAGGTTAGTGAAATCATTTGCAACAAATTAACTGTTTCAGGGTGCAGTAACAGGCTGTAATTATTCAGTCAGATACAGAAAACCATAGAACAAAGTGCTTAAGAAAATCAGGTTCTCCTGCTGCAGTGGGGAAATCTTCACAAAGAACATCGAGTCAACCCCATGACTTAAGACAGGATCCTCTATGTACTGATCCACATTTACTCTACACATCAGTTACCTTTCAGTTCAAGAACTGCATCAAATATGCATGCATAGTGTCACAATTTCAAAAACAATTCTGCTAACTAAGCCAGTCGAGCCATGGAATCCTCACTAAATACTCACAAACTGGATTTTCGCTCACTACGGAGCCAGAATTATCTTACAAAGTGTGTCATAGAATTAATATTTAATAATGGAGACTTGTAAAAACTACTTTCTAAAATATGGCAGGATTGTAATCAAGCAATATCTTAATCAAGCAATATCTTGAGATATGGCAAGATCTATATTTCAGTCATTATAGGGTTAATATATTTGTTATGATTCTACCAGAGACCTGACCTGGAAGTACAACCTGGCTCAGAGTGTTAATTGGTGCGTTTGCGAAACTGATTGGATGGTTTTAATTTACCAGTGTTTGGGTTGGCTAATGAGCTCGAGCTTCTTCCTGTTAAGGGTCTAGAAGAGAGGTTACTTGCTCTGCAGCCTCGCCCTAGGCTTTTACCTTTTTCCTCTTAGACACTCGTGGTATGTATTAGCCTACTTTGCTGTATAAATATGTAGTTTAGGACTGTATAAATATGTAGTTTAGGACTTTGTTATTTTATTAGAACTTTCCTGTTTTCCCCCTTCCTAATAGATTTAGATAAAGAACTTTATTTTGATTAACAGCTCTAGTTTCTGTGCCTTATTTACCCAACAGTCTGTAGATTATGTTCTCATCCTGCAACAAATACTAGAGTTTACTTGCAAGACCTACGAAGTAAGTCCAACAACCTTGCAGGTGGTACTGAATTATGACACTCTGAAGATTATCATCTTTTGAAAGGGAAGCATGTTTCAACTTCTAAAGTGTTCTCATTCATGACATCTAAAATAACAGCTTGTCTAAACTTTCAGGAGCCTTATTTTGAAGTTAATTTTTCATAGCATCTTTGCAATAGCATCTTACCATGATGAATAAATTTAGGTGATTGCTTCCAGTGACAAAAAGGCAGCAGATTTTGTGATTTTTTTTTATTTAAGAGCGCACACATTATGCTCAGCTATCCCTGATCAGTTACCGTAGAACTAAGAGTACCATGTGCAAGAAAGACTTTCCCCAAAGACTGCAAAAATGGCTATGGTTTCTACATGTACTTGTTTACAAGACCTCTACTGCTTTTAGCAACTATGGGCTGTAAGAAAATCAACAGAATTCTTTATTACTGTGAAAATATGGCTAAGCTTGAGCAATATAATTTCTGTCTTTTACACCAGCACTAAAGGGAACCCCTATTAAGGCCTAGCCCCTATTAAATCCTATTTCACTTTGCTCAAAACAATTTTAGTTTGTCTGAAAAAAACTGGGGGGAAAAACACCAGTACTGTGACAATCACACCTTGGGATCCTGAAATAGTCAACACACACTGTAGCACCTATGAGAACAGAAGAAAAGCAACAAAGGCATCTGAGTGGGGATGAAGGTTGCTAGTAAAGACAAGAAAGGATTGTTAAGGCAAGTATGGTAGTAGAGAGAAGGGATACAGAATTTCAGTGGACATTATACCTAGGGCTGCAATTACTTGATTAATTAACAGCTTTTAAATTAATTAAAATATGCCTACCATTAATACACTAACATATTTTAAGTTGTTAATAATTATAAATGAAAGTATTTACAAAATCCATAAATTAAACGATTAGTACTTTCTCAGAAGAGGCATTCTTACTCCTATCATGTACAGGACAGAATGCCCTTTCTCAGACAGCAACTGTTATCTGCAGAGGAAGATTTTTGTTTTTCGCTTAGCAGTTGCTTTAGTTGCAAAGTTAACCCACTAAATGTATACAATTAATCCATTATTTATTTAATCAAGCAACATTCTAATTATGCTTTCACACAATTTTTTTTTTTAAAGTCGTCAGCTTCTCAGTGTTTTAGCCTTTGGAGCTTTTTAGGGTTTTTTAAAGTATAAAGGTTATAAGCATGTACGGTGCTATAAGTTTTTGAGGAAAGCTGAAATAGTGCATTCAGAGAGAAGTTTCACTCAGCATGTTTGAGTGGGGGAACCTACACACTAGGTCCCGAACTTCTGGTTGCACCTCATTTCACCTGTTATGCAAGATTAGCACTTCCAGTTGAAACGATACTGGAAAAGAGAACTTGGAGAGCTGCTGAAAGCAAGGTTCCCCTATGGACCAGGCTGCTCATACAACTCTTCAGTAGCTGCTTGAAAAGCCTCTTCTGGGCTGGAGAAGCTTCGTGGTCAAAAGCCAGGAAGATTTCAATGTTCCCTCTAAGCCGTGGAGTCTTGTGAGCAAAAATTCAACTTTGTGAGCTACTGACATTTAAGTTGGCTACTGCATAAATCAGTTTGCTTTGGAGCCATCCTTCTTGAGCTAAGACAAAAATGTGTGAGTCAGAGGCTAAAAAACTGTGAGCTAGCTCACACTAACTCAGCTTAGAGGGAACACTGCTTAGGATACTTTGGTCCCTAGTGCGAAGCCCCTCATCCTGGTTCCAGTTAGCTACCAGCATTCGTGAAGGTAGTTTTAGACTCGGTTTAACCGAACGGCCAGGAACTTCCCAGTGCAACTTTCGTTTAAACTGTGCCGCAGCCCATGCAAAGATCCCTTGCAAGGGCAGTCTCAGGAAACACGCATCGCTGCTCTGCGTGGATCCCAGTACAGTCTAAACGAGACACTGAGCCCGTGCCAAGTCGCCTGGGAAAGCTCTTCGCTCCTCCAGGCGCACAAGGAACCACCCTCAGTCGCAACACTCGTTCGCCCCTGGAAGTCTTTCCAAACTCCCGCACAGACTCCCTCCCCCACCATCTCCACAGAGGAAAGGAAACCCCCGGTTACCACTACTCACGAAGGAACGGAAAAGAGAGGGACTCCTTGGATAGGCCTTGGAAGAGCAAGCGGCATCCCCTTCCCTCGACGCCTGCGTCGTTACCTTGGAGACCGATCGGCCGTCAGCTACGTTGGCGGGGGAGGACGAGGAAAGAAGCTCTTTCCCCGCGGTTTCTTTGGGCGGTGCTAGGAGGCGTCGCATTGAAGCCGACTGTGAGGGGCGACATACTCCTCGTGTTCGTATCTCTTTGGCTCACAAAATCCTCCAAAATCTATCCTCCAAAAATGTCTATGACCGCAAAGAGCGGTATAAAGAAGAGCGTTCCGGTAAGACGTCATTTCCTATAAAAGCTCCCGATTGAGGGGCAAGGATAGTGGAACCGTATAGTAATCAAGACAAAATGTTGAGTAACGCAGAGAGCAATACTGAGCAGAACCCCATTCCGGTCTGTTTACTCACTGGGGTTTAGTCTCCGGAAAGGATTGTACTGGCGGACAGGATTACAGGCTCCTCTTGGTTGTAGCATTTTGAAATAACCACGCTGACTTCCAAGCAAGCTCCTTTACTCTTAGGAGGGTCGTGTTCCTTGTTATTGTTACAGTTAGTCGGTTAGTAAGGTGGGAAAATGCAGACAGAGGAGCAATTAAAAGCTATACATGAGCCCAGGAGTTTAATTTGTTCTGTGCATTAAAAAAAAAGTTTTACTAACTCAAATCTGCATTTGTCTTTCCCACCGGTGTCCCAGCCTTCTGACTCCGTCTTCAAAAAAGCTGTCTACATTTGGTGCCATTTTCACACCTCAACAGTGCTAGCATACTTTCACACGTCCACATATGTTTATCGTCCTTTGGGGTGGCTCCACTGTCATTGCACCTCTGCACTGCTTTAAAAAGAATCTCCTCCAAACAACATTCAAACAAGCATAGAGAAAGACTGCGTCACAGCAGCACGAAAATGATTTTAAAATGCAAATGCAGAATCGGCCTAAGTGTCCTTTTCTAAAGTGGCATTAGACACAGAGGGTATTGCTCCCCCAATACTTCTTGGTGCCCCAGCTTTTAACTGTATTATATATACTCACTATAACAAGAATTAAGTATCTGGAAGACCCAGCTTTGAATCCTCATTTGTGCCATGAAAGATCACTGCAACCTAGGGCTTGCAAGATCCTATCATTCTGCTGGCGAGGGGGCTTGAAGTTCCTTTCTGGGAGTTCTTTGCCATGCATACAGTGCAATGACATCACCCAGAAGTGACACCAGATCGGTGACATCACGGAGCGACATTCTGAGGGCGAAGCTCTTTATGTTTTGTGTGAACTAGAGCATGGCCCCAGCGTCTGCCTGCATGATTGTCCTGGGGGCACCCCACTTTGGAGCAGCTGGCACAAGAACTGGGCTTTGGACGAGGAAACAGAATATGTCCCCTTGAAGGGAAGAGTCCCCTGAACGTGATGGGGGTGTATGACATGTAGTGGTCCAAACTTTATTTGGGGGTGTAAAGGGCATGGAGTCGTTCCACTTCCTTATTCAAATCCTTGAAATAACGGCCTCTTGGTGATACTCCAAATAAAAGTTTGTGGTGCCAGAACCACAGTTTGGACAGGGCACCATTGTATGTCCCCTCGCAGGGGACAGTCTCTGGAGTGTTGGGATGTGTCATTTGGGGTAGTCCAAATATTGTTTTGCGGTGCAGCCTGGCCCCAGTGTCCGCCTGTGCGATTGTCCTGGGGGCACCCCACTTTGGAGCAACTGGCACAAGAACTGGGCTTTGAACCAGGAAGCAGCATATTCCTCTCGAAGGGGAGAGTCCCATGAACATGGGGGTATATGACATGTGGCGATCGAAAACTTATTTGGGGGTGCGGAGCTTTCGAACTCTCCTCTATGTTTTCGGTTGAATTCATGAATAAGTCACGAATAACGAACTGGGGATCAACTTCAGCCTCCTAGTTAGGCCAGGGCTTCATCCTTGAAGAAAGGCGAGGGGAGCAGTTAGAATGGGGATCAACTTCAGCCTCCTAGTTAGGCAAGGGTTTGCTTCATCCTTGCAGAAAGGCGAGGGGAGCAGTTAGAGTGACTGCTGTTTACTGTGCTCAGACTTCCCTGTTCTCCTAGTAGTTGCAATGCAGAGCTGCACTAAAAGTAAAATGAATTGAAATCCATTTGGCTGAATGCAGCTTGTCTAAGGCTTAATGGGTCCTTGAGCTGACTTGTGCCCCAGGAATTTTGTCCCCCAGTCTCCTTCCCTTCTTGACAGCCCTGTGCATGCATAGCTGTACGTGTGATTGCTTGTGAACAGAAACATAATCACTCGTAGACAGAGTGGTAGGAGCTGATGTCCGGTCCCGACTTGACCCTGCCCTGGCTGCCAGAGCTGAGGACAGTCGTGGCCAGTCGTGGCCCAGACTCACCCATGCGAGAAAGGCTAAGAGAAGGAGGTTGCTGGGACCCAGGCAGATCACTCTGATACAGCAGAGAACAAGGCACAGTGCCAGATAGACATGGGGAGAGCTGTGTTCAGAAGATGAGGCTGAGCTTGGACTTGCGGAAGGCCAGAATGGGAGATGTTACAAGGCAGCCCTGACTGTCTTGGGGGTGGGTGAGCTTCACACATAGTATCTGCATATGTTGGTAGTCTGTGTATGTGGTTTGAGTATACTTACAGATGTGTATAGGTATGATTGTATAGGTATTTGCTAATGTATCTACTTATATATCAGCTTGGTTTGAGTATACTTACAGATGTGTATATGTATGATTGTATAGGTATTTGCTTACTAATATACCGTAATTATGTTCAGCATTCTTACCCAGTGAGTGGACATTCCACCTGTTATGGCAGAGCCTTGTCTTTTCCCTGTTACACTGTTCATCCACAGTGCCCTTTAACAGTTTATGTCGCTCTCCTTTAGATTGCTTGCAGTGCTGACCTATACAGGAATACAGGTGCTGCTGGTGTCTGTCTCTAATAAAATCTAAACGTCATGTCCATTGACCAGACCATTAGTGTCACTACATTTGTATATGGAATGGGACTTTCACAGAAAGCACCCATTCCATAAATTGATGTACACTTTCATTAGTACCAATGTAGAAAAATTGCCTTGTTTGAGAGAACCTTATAGATTGTATTTTTACAATGTGACTGTGTTGTGGTTTATAGCCTTTTAGGGAAGATGTAATTTTATGGTGTGATATTGATCTTCATACCTGGAAAAGTAGCAGGGAGTTTCCTTTTTCTTTCCATGGCAGAAGATGTGCGGGGCAGGCTTGCAACCAAATAGGTACATTCTCATATAATTACTCCCGGACACAGAAAGCTAATGCAGATTGAACCTATCAGGATTTCACATACGACATCAGTTGCTGTGTATGCTAAGTGCTGTCACGATTACAAGTAGCCAGCAAAATAACATTTGGTACTTGCAGCACAGATTATTTGGAGGGGAAAACCTACTTTATTTGTTATGAAAATGCTTAGGCTCTACTGCGTTTATGGTTTCTCTTTATTTTTATTTAAAGGTTGTGGAGAAAAGTGGAGGTTTTCACCTCTATCTCATCAGAGAAAAGATGAAAAAGAGGACACAGAAACCCCAGAACCATTCCAGCCTAGACCCTGCTTGTTCACCTTGAAAGGCAAAATATAGCCAGGGCTACCTTACTGTTCACATCCTCTCACCTGTGATGGGGTGAGACAAAAAGTATCACAGAGAATCCCTGCAGCTGCTCCATCCAAGATGTCTTGGCAGCACTGAGAGAAAAACAAACTTACTATTACGACATATAACTATTATATCTAGGCAGGGGTCTTGTTGTAGAAAAAGAGCTGCCGGAGCTCATTAGCATAACTCATTAGCATAACTTATTTGCATATGCCACGCCCCCTGACATCACCGGAAGTGACAGAAGGCCACACCCCCTGACATCACCGGAAGTGTGTCAGAAGGCCCGGCTACTTACCCTCCTGCTTCATCCTCATTCCCAAACGGAATGAGGATCGAAGCAGAGGGCGGGGTAAAGAAGGGGGCGGGGCTACACCACGTGACCGCCCCGCCCCCTAGAGGTTCTCTTCCGGAGCTCCGTACCTGAGAGCTCCCCCCCGACTAGACCCCTGTATCTAGGAATTGCTTTGGCATTAGTCCAGTTCTGAGATGCTTGCAGGGCTATCTGTTCCCAATTGGCTTGTGGATGTAATAAAATCATTGGTTCTTTGTGGTCATACACGAACTTTTCTTACTGTATGCATTTCCGCCTCTGCATTTATAGTGAAATGAAACAAAACACTTCAACTCAGAAATTACCACCAGTACTGTACTTTTATTTCCTAATAAATATCTTAATAAATAGGCTTACTCCATCTGTAAGACCTGATAATGCCTCTTAGGAAATCATAGAAAAATAAAATACAATAATCATCAGTAACTTGTACTTTGTACAAATATCTTATTATGTTGCTCAGCATGTAGCTTTGCCAAACCCCATATTCTTTCTGCAAATAGATGGCATATGAATGCAATTCACCTTAAAACGCCCTAGTTATGAAAGCTGAGCATTTTATTACACTACTAACTTATAGACATGCCAGCACATGAAAATTTACATGGAACATTGTATTATCATAGTAGTCGATTTCAAATGAGGAAAATCATATAATCTCTCAAGTAAACGTGGATTGTTTTATTTCTAATTTAAAGTAGGAAGATTACTGTATTTCCCCTTGGGAATGCAGATCAATATGTTAGATTTTCTTTCGAACAACTATTCCTCTTATAATTTTAAAAAAGAAGAAAATCAGAAACTGCAAATGGAGTATGAATGGAAGATACGAAAGGGAAATAACTGTAGACAAATGGTGGCAGTCCCAAGAGGAAAACAAGCATGTCAGATTTTTTTTAAAAAAAATGGACCAAGCCCTTCTCCTCAGATACAGTAGCTCTTGCTTGCCGTTTGCAGTATATATTCATAACATATAAATATTCATAATCAGTTATGGACATAGCATAAAGTCAAAGAGTACAAATGTCCCAGTCCAGGATCCTTGTGGCTTAGATATGTATATGAAGGGTAGAGTGAGGTACCCATGTTCACATCAATGGAGGGAGATGATCCACATGCACAAAAGACTGTGTACATCGGCTGACTTCCTCCTTTGATATGAGTTCCAGGAGAGGAGCTCCATGCCTGCATTGCAGCTCCTGTGCCTGG